TCTTTTTGTGACCTCTGCTAATACTTTATCTTGGTGTCCTTTCTTTATGCATTAATTTATAAGATACTGTCTCGGATCACAGCGTGTATACAAGCGGTTCTTTTTAGATTCGGGTAAATGTAGTTAAGAGAAGGCTGAACAACAGCAATTTGCTTAAATATGAATGTTTATTAAGTAATAATAAATGGTTTTAATGGTAATAATAAATGGAAAAGAAAAGAGGAAAGAAAGCAACAAGTCTCACGCCTTTCTAGAAAAAGCAACACGTCTCATGTTCTGCCTGTTGGGTCCCCTCAATCGATGGCTGGTCTGAAAGCTTAGGTTCATTCCTGGCACTGTTCACGATCCCGGTCTGAGGTGAAGTACAGCGGCAGCAGCAGCTTGGAACGAAACTCTCTCTCTCTCTTATACAGTATGACAAACAGCCAGCATAAAGAAAACAGATACAGCAGACAAAACTGTTGGCTGCGACAGACAACACAGGATGGGAAAACAAGTGCAGGTGTCATCTTCAGCTCATAAAGGAGTTTTCACAGGACTCATTCAAGGTCATGCAGCTTGTTAAGTATTATTCTAAACTTGCCCAGCCTATTTTCCCATCCTGTACAATCTATTTTCTCATGCAGCTGTCAAATATCACCATTAACTTATAGCCATTTAGCCCATCCTATATAGATACCTCAGGATCTTTATTTTTACATCAAAGGTGCAGCAAAATTGAGCGTTTCTGTTGAATTTGCTTGCCCACACTCCTCCCCACCATGTTTCTTTACCCCAAAATTCACCTGATCTCTCACTCTCTACATTTACCCTTCTCCAAACGATCTACCATTGTACAAAAACAAAGTTGCTGGAAAAGCTCAGCAGGTCTGGCAGCATCTGTGGAGGAGAAAACAGAGTTAACGTTTCGGGTCCAGTGACCCTCAGAACTGAGGAAGGGTCACTGGACCCAAAACATTAACTCTGTTTTCTCTTTCACAGATGCTGCCATACCTGCTGAGCTTTTCCAGCAACTTTGTTTTTGTTCCTGATTTACAGCATCCGCAGTTCTTTTGGTTTTGATCTACCATTGTAATTTGGTAAGGGACTGTGCAGACTGGTATGATGAAGTTGAACTTCAAAGTTTCCTCCCCCAGAGTTTACTGTTCTAACAAGGTTGACCAAGCTCCACTGCTGGAAATTGTAATATGTTATCATAAGCTCAAAATCAATGCTGATGATCTGCTGAGGTTTGTGTTTTGGGGAATTTCTGTCAATCATCTGATGTGACTTTGATAATAGATCTGTGGAAACTCAAAGAAGGTGAGTAACCAGGATTTTCACTTATTCTTAATGTTTTCCATTGCTTGATTTATGAACCATAGAATTCCCGCAGAAAACTATATATCTGGCTCCACTGAAGGACCAAGTCCTTTGTGAGCAAGGTTTTTTTTAAATTAGTAGCCATTTCTATCATGATTTAAATTTTCTAATGAAACAGTATTGCTGGATATTTGGTTTTGTGAGTCAGAAGAAAGCAGTGAAGTCTTTTTTAATTCTTTTTTTTGAAATGTCATTTTAGATTAGTATGTTTTTGATCATCAAAGCTGTTTTTGAAAGTGAGCTGCTTTGAAGTGCTCTCTGAGGTCTAACAGCAATAAAAAGGATTCTATTAAAAGTAGTGGTGAAATGAGTGAACATAGAAAGCTGAAATGGAAGCCTCGAATCAATGAATCTGACTGGTCAGGAAAATATGATGTTCTAATAATGTGGAAATGGACACAGTCAAGACTAAATTGGATGCATTTTTGATCAGCAAGGGAGTTAAGGGCATGGGGAATGAAAGAACAGGAAATTGGTCATAAGGTCACAATCACAGCATCCCTGATGTAATTGAATAGTGGAGCTGGCTTGAGGAGCCGAACTGTCGCCCCAGACGAAAACTGAAAGAACTTGCGGACGCTGTAAATCAGGAACAAAATCAGAAGTAATTGAGTAGTGGAATTGGCTTAAGGAGCCGAAGTCCTGCTCCTAATGTTTGTGTTCTTATGCTCATCTAGTGCAGGGGTGTAGCCAGCAACTGAAAGTAGAGTTCTTTTTAAAAAATTGACACTTCTTCAGAAAGTGAGATGGAGATAACCTCGCAGTCCCACATCCTGCTACACAAGCACTCAGCTCTGCATTTGGGCTGCTGCTTGTTATTTTATTGTTAAGTGTTGTTAAAGCAAGTATTGTTCAAAACATTTAAAGAATATTATAAAGTGGTAACGTTTCGGGTCCGGTGACCCTTCCTCAGAACGTTCTG